CTAAGGCCTATATTACAAAGCGACGCCCTAGCGCTGCACCTGTTCTTGCAGTTAACACCTAAAGTCCTGTTTGTTTTTACAAATAGGCACTATTTGGGGTTTGTAAATAGCTAGCTTTGCTAACTATCTATTAAATCTCTAGGGATACTTCTGCTAAATATCCGCGCTTGCGTGCATAATAAGGCAATTATAGGTCTTCTCCTCCTAAGGTGCGTATAGTGCAGGTCTTTTTTAGCAGCAACGCTAGTAATGCCCTGTCTTGGACTGCACCTTAGGGAACTTAGTAAGGGTAACTAAATTAGTTGCTTGCAGCGTTAGTGCCCTGTGTACTTTTGTAGTAAGCAGCTAGCGCTACTTTGTGCAGCTACCTGCTTAGTACTTTCTACTTCTTCTAGGGGGTTTATGCCTGCGTGCCTTGTGCGCCTAGGTATAGGATCGTTACCTAGTTAATTCTGCTAGTAGTTATATGCTTGTCTCAAAGATTAAGCTATACATATCTAAGTATAAGTAATTATACCGTAAAACTGCGAATAGCTTATTAAATTAGTTATCGTTTATTTAATAGTACTTTACTACTTAGATAACTGTAGTAATTCTAGAGCTAATACATGCTAAAAACCCCAACTTTAGGAGGGGTGTATTTATTAGATAAAAAACTAACGCCCTTTAGGGCTTCTTAGTAATTTATAATAACTTTATAGATTACATAGCCTTGCGCTAGCAACAGTTTATTTAAATTTCTACCCTATTAACTTTTAATAGTAAGGTATTAGCTTACTATAGTTTTAACGGGTAACGGGGAATTAGAGTTTAATTCTAGAAAGGGAGCCTAAGAAACAGCTACTATATCTAAGGAAGGCAGTAGGCGCGCAAATTACCTAATCCTAACATAGAGAAGTAGTAATAATAAATACTAATACAGGGCTCTTTTAGGTTTTGTAATTAGAATAAGTACAATTTAAACTTCTTAACAAGGAATAATTAGAGGGCAAGTCTAGTGCTAGCAGCTGCGGTAATTCTAGCTCCAATAGCGTATATTAAAGTTGTTGCAGTTAAAAAGCTTGTAGTTAAAACTTGGGTCTAGCTAGCAGGTCTGCTTTACTGCGTGTACTTGTCTAGCTAGGCCTTCCTTCTAAAGAACTTTATGCCTTTTACTAAGCATATTAGGGACTAGGACTTTTACTTTAAAAAAATTAGAGTATTTAAAGCAGGCCTTTGCTCAAATACGTTAGCATAGAATAATAGAATAGGACGTGCAGTTCTATTTTGTTAGTTTCTAGGACTGCTGTAATAATTAATAGGGACAGTCAGGGGCATTAGTATTTAATTATTAGAAGTAAAATTCTTAAATTTATTAAAGACTAACTACTGCAAAAGCATTTACTAAGAATGTTTTTATTAATTAGTAAACAAAAGTTAGGGGATTAAAGATAATTAGATACTGTCGTAGTCTTAATTATAAACTATGCTAACTAGGGATTAGGCAATATTCTTTTTTTTAACTCGCTTAGCACCTTACGAGAAATTAAAGTTTTTAAGTTCTAGGGGGAGTATAGTCGCAAGGCTAAAACTTAAAGAAATTAACAGAAGGGCACTACTAGGCGTAGAGCCTGCGGCTTAATTTAACTCAATATAGGGAAACTTACTAGGTCTAGATAAAATAAGGATTAATAGATTAAGAGCTCTTTCTTAATTTTTTAGGTAGTAGTGCATAGCCGTTCTTAGTTAGTAGAGTAATTTGTCTGCTTAATTGCGATAACAAACAAGACTTTAACCTGCTAAATAGCTAGGCTAGCTTTAGCTAGTTGCTGGCTTCTTAGAAGGACTATTAGCTTAAGCTAATAGAAGTTTAAGGCAATAACAGGTCTGTAATACCCTTAGATATTCTAGGCCGCACGCGCGCTACACTAATAGAGCTAACAAGTTTTTTACTTTAGCTAAAAGGTCTGGGTAATCTTGTTAAACTCTATTGTGCTAGGGATAGAGCATTGCAATTATTGCTCTTTAACAAGGAATGCCTAGTAAGCGCGTGTTATTAGCATGCGTTAATTACGTCCCTGTTCTTTGTATATACTACTTATTGCTACTACTAATTAAATAGCTTAGTAAGGCCTTTAGACTAGCTTAGGGAGGTTAGCAACAACTACCCTAAGCTAGAAAGTTTGTTAAACTTAGTTATTTAGAGGAAGTAAAAGTTGTAACAAGGTTTCTGTAAGTAAACCTGCAGAAGAATTATTACTAATTTTTAGAGGGACTTTAGTCCCTGTCTAAACTCTTGTCTTTTGCGTACTATTTGTTTCCTTAGCAGGCTCTGCCTGCTAATAGGATACTATAAAAACTCTTTGTAATTGCAATTAGCGTTAGAAAATATATAATAATTACAACTTTTAACAACAGATTTCTTAGTTCTAGCATTGATGAAGAACGCAGCAAAATGCGAAAAGTAGTATAAATTGCAGAATTTAGTAAATTATTAAATCTTTAAACGCACATTGCGCCCCTTAGTATTTTATAGGGCATGCCTATTTGAGCATTATTTGTACCTTTAAGCTCTGCTTAGTGTTAGGTGTTTGTCCCTGTTTTATGCGCAGGACTTGCCTTAAAGTAATTAGCAGCTAGTGTACTTACTTTAGAGCGCAGCATATTTTGCGTCCCTTAGCCTAAACGCTTGCGTCTACAAAGCCTATACTTTTACTCTTAACTTTAGATTAGGTAGGGATACCTGCTAAACTTAAGCATATTAATAAGCAGAGGAAAAGAAACTAATAGGGATTGCCCTAGTAACAGCAAGTGAAGCGGCATTAGCTTAAATTTAAAATCTAGCTCTTTTAGAGTCCAAGTTGTAATTTGCAGAGGGCGCTTTAGCGTTAGTAGCAGTTTAAGTTCTTTAGAACAGGACGTTATAGAGGGTAAGAATCCCGTACGTAGTCGCTAACCTTTACCGTATAAAGCCTCTTTAACAAGTTAAGTTGTTTGGGAATGCAGCTCTAAATAGGAGGTAAATTTCTTCTAAAGCTAAATACTAGCTAGAGACTAATAGCGCACAAGTAGAGTAATTAAAAGATAAAAAGCACTTTAGAAAGAGAGTTAAATAGCACGTAAAATTATTAAAAGGGAAGCGCTTGCAGCTAGACTTGCCTATAGTTACTTATCTAGGCTTTTGCCTAGTGCACTCTTCTGCAGGCAGGCTAGTATTAGTCTAGGCAGTTAGATAAAGGCCTCTGTTACGTACCTCCTTTTAGAGAGGCCTTATAGGGGAGGCAATATGCAACTAGCCTAGACTAAGGTCTGCGTATCTGCTAGGATGCTAGCATAATAGCTATAAGCAGCCTGTCTTAAAACACGGACTAAGGAGTCTAACATCTATGCAAGTATTTGAGTGTTAAGCCCAAACGCGTAATAAAAGTAAACAGAGGTGGAATCCCTTTTAGGGTGCACTATTAACTAATCCTAATGTTTTCAGATAGATTTAAGTAAGAGTATAGCTATTAGGACCTAAAAGATAGTAAACTATGCTTAAATAGGGTAAAGCTAGAGGAAACTCTAGTAGAGGCTTGCAGCAGTTCTAACGTGCAAATTAATTGTTAAATTTAGGCATAGGGGCGAAAGACTAATTAAACTATCTAGTAGCTAGTTCCTACTAAAGTTTCCCTTAGGATAGCAGTAACGTATTTAGTTTTATAAGGTAAAGCAAATAATTAGAGGCCTAGGGGTTAAAACAACCTTTACCTATTCTCAAACTTTAAATATATAAGAAGTCCTTATTACTTAATTAAACGTAGACACTTAAATGTACTATTACTAGTAGGCTATTTTTAGTAAGTAGAACTAGCAATGCGGGATAAACTAAACGCAGGGTTAAGGTACTAGAATACACGCTTATTAGACACTACAAAAGGTGTTAGTTTATCTAGACAGCAGGACAGTAGCTATAGAAGTTAGAATCTGCTAAGGAGTGTGTAACAACTTACCTGCTAAATAAACTAGCCCTAAAAATAGATAGCGCTTAAGCGTGTTACCTATACCCCGCTGCTAGGGCAAGATTTAAGCCCTAGCAAGTAGGCAGGCGTAGAGGCTTGTAACGAAGCCTTAGGAGTAACTTTAGGTTAAACAGCCTCTAGTGCAGATCTTAGTAGTAGTAGCAAATACTTAAATAAGAACTTTAAGGACTAAAGTAGGGAAAGGTTCTGTATAAACAGTAGTTAGACACAGGTTAGTTAATCCTAAGAGATAGGGTAATTCTGTTTTAATGTTAGCGCTTGCGCCGCGCCCTTAAAAGGGAAGCTAGTTAATATTCTAGCACCTAGATATAAATTCTCTGCAGCAACGCAACTAAGAGCAGAGACCTTAGCAGGAGCCCTAAGAAGAGTTCTCTTTTCTTCTTAATAGTTTGTTACCCTAAAATTAGTTTGTCTAGAGCTAAAGTTTAATAGCTAGAAGAGCGCTGCACTTTTGCAGCGTTTAGTGCGCTCCCAACAAGCCTTAAAAATCTGCTTAAAGAAATAGTTTTTATGCTAGGTTGTACTTATAACTGCAGTAGGTCTCTAAAGTAAAAAGCCTCTAGTTAATAGAACAATGTAGATAAGGGAAGTTAGCAAAATAGATCTGTAACTTTAGGAAAAGAATTAGCTCTAAGAGTTAGGCACGTTGGGCTTTAGGAAGAAGCTTCTAGCGCAGAAGGGCACTAGCTGCAAGGTAGGCGCCTTTTAGCGCTAGAGTACAAGTACTCTTAGCAGGCTTCGGCTGTCTAGCGTGCGTTTAACAACTAACTTAGAACTAGTATAAATAAAGAGAATCTAACTGTCTAATTAAAACATAGCATTGCAATAGCTAGAAAGTAGTGTTAACACAATGTAATTTCTGCCTAGTACTCTAAATGTTAAAGCGAAGAGATTCGACTAAGCGCAGGTAAACAGCAGAAGTAACTATAACTCTCTTAAAGTAGCTAAATGCCTTGTTATCTAATTAGTAACGCGCATAAATAGATTAACAAGATTCCTACTATCCCTATCTACTATCTAGCAAAACTACAGCTA